GGCCACCACCCATCCCACATTGCACCCGACCCCTTTGGCCCCTCCCACAGGTGGTGAGCCCATGGGAAGGGGGACCCACGTCTCCTCTTCGGGCTGTGCCCGGCCGAGCTCCATGGGTAAAAGCCCGGCCACCAGGCACTCGCCCGCGTGCCCCATCTCCAGGCCTGGCTCCAGAGTGGGGTTCCAGTGACATGCCACTCCGTTTTTGTTTTTATTTCCAAAAGAAGGAGAAGTGTCTTCAGAGGTTTTTGTGTCGTTTCTTTCAGTAGTTCTTGATGCAGCGCCCCCACAGGCGAGCGGGGGAACAGGTTGGTTCAACAGGTTGGTTCGACTGCACAGTGCAGTGTGAATGCAAACGCACCAGCTCAAATGTAACAAAATGTCATGAAAATTGGTCCCCAACCGAACCGAGTCTACCGGACTATCAGCTGTGAAAACAACCTCAAACCCATCCTAGAAAATAAAACTGCTCTCACACAGGAAACAGTGATTGAATCTGAAATCAACGGATCAGTCAACACCAGAACCTCTGTTTGGGTCTGCAAGCTGTGCTTTTATTTTATAAAATCCTCTTTCACTTTGGGTTTTTACAAAAAGCAGTGGCATCATCACATTGATGACATCATCACCAGGAAAACATTACATCATCACAAGCGGCATGTCCAACTTCTGCCTGGCGTTACCATATTTGGCAGAGGAACGCCTCAAAAGGCTAAACGTTTTTAAATCACGCCCCCAGAGTTGATCATCGTTGGCTATAATCAACCACACATCAAAGAAAACTAACGATTATTCAAAAGCACTAAATTAGTGGTTGATTAGTGGTAAAAAAAAAAAAAAAAAAGATGACTGTTAGTCACATGTACCTCTTGTGAAAGAGGAGCAGTGAGGAAAATGACAACAGAAGGAATGTGTGACATCAGGAAATAGGAGGTCACGCTCCTGACCTCCTCCTGCCCACTGGATGAGGAGGTTGAAGTAGGAAGAGGAGAAGATTCAGCAGGAGGTTCAGCAGCAGAGCTTCCCGGCAGCCATGATATCAGGTGGTGCAGTGAGAGGAGCTTCAGCAGGAGTTCAGCTCCTCCATGGTCTGATTCAGTGTGGCCTGAAGCTCCATGTTGGCGTTTCTGGCTGCAGTCAGAGCATCTACAACAAGCAGGAAAAACTGATCAATGACCGATCAAACACCTGATCAATGACCAATCAAACACCTGATCAATGACCAATCAAACACCTGATCAATGACCGATCAGACACCAGATCAATGGTGATCAAACACCTGATCAATGACTGATCAAACACCTGCTCAATGATTGCTTAAACACCTAATCAATGATCGATCAAACACATGATCAATGACTGATCAAACACCCAATCAATAACTGATAACACACTAGATCAATGACTGATCAAACACCAGATCAATAATTGATTATACAGGTCCTTCTCAAAAAATTAGCATATTGTGATAAAGGTCATTATTTTCCATAATGTAATGATAAAAAGGAAACTTTCATATATTTCAGATTCATTGCACACCAACTGAAATATTTCAGGTCTTTAATTGTTTTAATACTGATGATTATTGCATACAGCTCATGAAAACCCAAAATGCCTGTCCCAAAAAATGAGCATATCATGAAAAGGTTCTCTAAACAAGCTATTAGCCTAACCATCTGAATCAACGACGTAACTCTAAACACCTGCAAAAGATTCCTGAGGCTTTTAAAAACTCCCAGCCTTGTTCATTACTCAAAACCGCAATCATGGGTAAGACTGCCGACCTGACTGCTGTCCAGAAGGCCATCATTGACACCCTCAAGCAAGAGGGTAAGACACAGAAAGAAATTGCTGAAC